TATTACTACCACGAGGAATCCATAGATGCTCTTGGGGGCCTCATGGCAAGCGCCGACACATAAATTGCACCACAGTGGTAGTTACTAATACTAAGTAGTAGTAGCACTTGTTATTCGTATAAGTACGACTACTAATGATTACTGAGTAGTAGTAGATGCTAAGTAGTAGTGGTAGTAAGTGCTACTACTACTACTACTACCAAGTACTAACACCACTAAGTACTACTACTATTTTCACTAGGAATTATTACTACTACTAAGTACTACTACTATGTAGCAGTAGCAGCTGCAAATATAGTAGTAAGTATTACTACCAATGCTAGTATACTAACAACATGTATTCTTACATTTACACGGTGCATAGATTGTTAATGTAGGTCAACACATGTTCATGTGTTACGTTATTCTGCATATATTGCATATATAGCTGCTGCGGATTGTGTTCCGAGATGCCTCGCACGAGGTGGTCCGCCCAGTTTCGCTTAAGACATCTTCGCAACTCCGGGCTGAGATATCCCTTGGTCTGAGGTGGTCGGGCCAGTCTCGCCTGAGAGATCCTCCCATCTATATAATTAATATTGGTCAACACATGTCAATATGGTATTTTCTTATGCATATATTGCGTATAAAGCTGCTGCGGATGACTCAAGATTTGAAATCTGCAGCTGTATATTTTCGTACGCCATGGCGTACGAATTTACTTACATTGAAGGCGGGGCCGCGATGGGGCCAATGCCGAACTTGCCTCCTTCCATCGCCTGGAACAAACTGGGCCAGCGTCAACAAGATCGCATTGATAACGGCGAGGATTCGGGGAGTGTTGAATGATTGAAGGCCTTATGATTTAAATTGTGCTTTCATAATAAGAATAAGTTTTAGCATTATCCCCTTCCGTGCGTTTGCCCAGAGGACAAGATCTGGATCCCATATAACTTCCAGTGCGCCTGGAAGAAATGGACCTTCCAGCGTTACGACGGCGATCGGGAAACGTTATACATACCATTGTGCCGATTTGTGCCGCTGCTCGGTCTGAGTTTAAGGCGGAGTTGCGTTCGTGCCTCCGCGGGCTGACCGAGGGGACACGTTCGCGCTTCCTGAAACCAGGAGAGCTCGGCCAAATCGGCGCAAGAGTAACTATAGCTGACGCCTCCTCAGGTCATATCATGCTGTACAAGCCTGCCGACGACGAACTGGAATGGATAGCAGTTCGCCATGTTCGCCAAGTGCAAGCGACTGCCGTCCTCGTAAGCTTTTGCCAGTATACGCACCAGCTCTCCATTCGGGTGACGGTCGAGCACACTCAGAATCTGATGCAGGACCTCGACCAGTACATCGCCAATTACTCCACCACGATCTTGTCCGTGAAGGCATATTTGTTAATCCAAGTTTTCAGAATGGAGGTAGACAGCAACAGATGAGAAGCCTCTTTCAATCGGCTGTCTGCCTGCATTCTTAAAACCTAGAAATAGAAATCTACTTCAGGCGTACATTCGGCACGCGCTTGCCCTGCCAGATCACCGGCCCATCGAGTTAAATATCAACCAGCAAGTGATCAGCAATTGCAAGCAGATAGCTCCTTGCTTCAATCTTAGTCGGAAGCGCCGCCGCTGAGCCGCCGTTGCCCTCCCTCTAGGCCCTGTGCTTTTCGAGTCTGCATATTGATCTCATTGCGCGCGCTGGCTGATGCAGCTGGCAAATATAAACTGGATAGGCTCCAGAAACCTCGCATAGCTTGAAGCAGTTAGGGTGTTGCGCATTACATTTGACAAGAAAAACAGAACATCGCATACCCCGTGCCACGCATGGTTGTCATTGTTGGATTAGCGATGACTTTGAGGTCGATTCCAGGTTTCTCGTTATACCCCAGTCACCAAACAATTTCGTTCGACCTACTTGGCCAGCTCAACCACCAATCTATGTAGAGCAGTGAGAGCTTCTGCCTTCGATCGATCGGGGCGAATTTGCAGCCGACCCTCTTAAGCAGCTACCAGGGCAAGACCTTACCTCCTCCATGTACTCGCCGGTCTCATCCAGGATCACAATGTCTGCGGCGTTGAGCTTTAAGGAGCTTCTTGGAGGCCTCTAGGTCGCGCCTCGGGAGGTTCTAGGGGGCTCTCGTGATCGTCTTGGGTGAGAGGCTCCAATTGTCATTTCGGATTGCCCTAGCCGGTTGTCTCAAACTGTCATCAGAGCTTAGCGCGGGAGAGCTTATCTCCCTTCTCGACTCGGGCCGCAGAGGGGCGGGCTGAGTGGGGGGCCGCGCCAGAGACGCGGGGGGGGGGGGGGCGGGTAGCGAGGCGCCGGCCGAGAAGGCGGAGGCCGATCGGCGCGGGTAGGAGGCCGAGAGACCGCCAGCGGCTTCGGTAGCCTCGCGGACTCTGCCGCCCCGCTCACTCGCAGGATTGCTGAATATTATCAGTAGACTTGCGTGGCTCAAGCAGGCTCGACGCCGCTTTCGCGCGCGCTCCATCCCAGGTTGCCCGACTCAGCTGCGGCCGCGATGTCGTCTCCGGTATTTGAGCACTCTGCCCGTGAGACGCACACTGCCCTGCACCGCTGGAACGCGCCCAATGTGCAGAAGTGGATGACTAAGTGGCAGCACGGCAATATTTCGTCACAGGACCTGCTGTTGCGGTTCGTCGCTGGACTCCCCAACGTGAAGCACCAGGAGGGCGATCAGCATGTCTTCAGAGAGCCAAAGGGCGGTTGGGTGGAACATATGGTGTTTGAGACGACCTTCCCCACGAAGGCAAGCTACAAGTCGTACTGGCACGGGACGACGTTCCACTGCCTCCCCAGCATTCTACAATATGGGCTTAAGAACTCCAGCGACACCCGCATCCACGAGTGCACAGACGTCGGCGTGTATGTGGCTGACACGCTCACGTGGGGCGGCGCCTTCTACCACGGCGTCGCCACGCGGTTCTCAGAGCACCCCGACTTCAGCATCCCGTACACCCGCATCGTTCTGAAGGTCGGATGCGATGGGCCTCCGAAGACCAGCCGTTCTTACGGGGAGTGCTACCAGCTTATCTTCGACGAAAAGCAGATCGTCGTCGAAGAGATTCACTTGTTTCGTGGCTATGGCTTCGCAAACAAGGGTGATAAGTACTTCGACTGCGTCGGCCCCCTGGCCAAGGCGCTGCCCGCGGCGGAGGCGTTCGCTCGGTGCTATTGCTGCGCTGACCGTGACGACACCATTTCTCCCCTGATCGTCCCCAAGGACAGTTTCGTGCCAGGTGCGATGCCGTGCCGCCTGGCTTATCCATGCCGATGCTGCGCCAAAGTGTCGGGTAATAAGTGAGATAGGCCGGCGCCGCGGCGGCGGCCGGCCCTTCCGCGGCCGCGTGAGTGGCTGGGCCGCGTCCTGACTGCAGCAGCTGCGCACGGCCGCGCGTGGAGCGCGCGGCGCGCCCCATGGGAGGGCGGGTTGACACGCGCAAGGGCTTGGATGGGAGCGGGAAATGAGGGGCGCGCGCTGGATTGCATCATTTAGAGGGGTGGCACTTTGTAGCAGTTGCGCAGCGCGCGCGGATCCTGTGGTTCAGGGCTGTTCGCTGCGCCCGAGCACCTCGCTGCAGCGATGCTTGGAACGCCTTGCCGGTCATTGCCGCTGGAAAAAGAATCGTCTCTTCATCTCTATCACCATCGACGTCCAGTGCTCTAATGCAGAGGTACTGCACCACTCGTGAGATTTGAAAAAAGAACGGCCCATAGCGTGGCCCTCGGCCATGGGTCGCCACCAGGACTAGCGGGCGCATAGCGTTTGACAAATTGTTTGCATCGCATAGATTACATTACTCAAACTGCGCCATCCATGTATCACATAGGGCGCCGCGCACGTATATTGCACCACGTGGATTGCGCCGCATAGTTTATACTATGTAGGTTCAACGCGCGATTTTGGGGAAGGCGTGGCGAAGGTATCGATTGCATTACTTAAACCGCGCCATCCATGCATCGCATAGGTTGCCGCGCACATATATTGCACGCGCGGATTGCGCCGCATAGATTGCACCGCGTAGATCCAACGCTTGGCGCACTCCCTTCAATAGGAAGCAGATCATCCGTCAGACCGCCTTCCGCTCGCAGCTTTGACGCATGACCCAGAAGGTACCTTTACAAATATTTCAGTTGTGGATATCTAAGAAGCAGCAACAGGCACATCTCCATCTCTATCATCATCGACGCCCAGAGCTCTAATGCACAGCTCCAGAGCCATTGTCTACAACCCGAGGCATCCCGACTCTTTGCCGTTTAGCTAGCTGCTCTCCCGCTCACGCAGCGCGCGGCCCCGATGGCGTCGGCCGCGGGGCATCCTCCTCCAGAGGGTGCGCGCATTCGCTCCGCCTCCGCGGCAGCCTCATCGGCTGGGCCGGCCCCCCCCGCGCTCTCTCAGTATTCGCGGGATCTCATGGGCAGCTTGGAGGGCATGCAGGTGCCGAACACGCAGGAGGCGGCCCAGCTGGCAGCTGCCGACGACGATATCATCGCCGACTGCGGTCGAGATGATGTGCGGGCGGCTGTGGAGAAGCGCAAGAGGATCCACGGCGCCGAGCAGTCGGATGCCATCTTCGCAGATATATTCCAGAAGGTCGACGCGAAGAAGGGCCGGCTCCGCCAGGTGCGCGCGGCGCCCGTGGCCACGAACACGGGGCTCGTCGCCGACGCCGAGAAGTACGCGGAGATCGTGGAGAGAGAGCGCCCCAACTGGAGCTCGGATCTCAAGCGCATCGGCCTCGCGGCCCTCTGCGTGTACCGCTCCCGCCCAGTGGACGTGGGGACCGTGCAGCACGTGCAAATGATCTGGATCATACTTGGTGGCCGCCTTCTCCGCGCCCACAACGGGCGGGCTTACTTCTACGATCAACGTCTCGGTTACTTCGACGTCTTCGACGGCCTCCTCCCGCCAGAGCTGCTCTTCGCGGCGTCTCGCTTCATGCTGACTCTGGAAGGAATATTCAGGGATTTCCCGTGCGGCGTGGAGCGAAAGGATTCCGCCGTGCTCGCGGCCATCGACAGCGCCGTGGAGAATGCGGTTGCGAAGATCAACGGAGACATATCTTACGCAGTTAAGGAGGCGGCCGCGCTCGTCTCGTTCCGCGACAACTGCGTCTTCAACAAGGGAAATGCGATCCTGCAAAAGGCCAAGGGCAAGGGCAAGGGCGTCGCGGCGCAGGCGCCCGATGGCGAGGGCGAGGGCGAGGGGCGGGGGCGCGGCGCTGAGGACGCCGAGGGCGACGACCTCACCAGGGCGTCCGACGCGTGGCACATCGCAGTCGCCCAGACTATCAGCAAGGTATCGACCAAATTACAGACGGAACTTCTCAGCAGCAAAATCATGTCGTACTTTATTGAATGGTGCTCTCAGGACACCATGCGATCTGCTGGCGTCGCCTACGAAGACTGCATCGTGAAGTACGATGTGCTGGGTAGTCCTGTGACATTTTCTTCTGAGCGATCACCTGAGAATTCGGTTTACATTGGCATCCGCTCGCAGCTCCTGTCCACCGACCCCGTGCTCGACGCGGCGGTGGCCCGCGTGCAGAAGATATATTCACAGACGTTCTGGTCCATTCCAGATGCTTTCGTGTTCGGGCAGGCGGCCCAGGCGCTCGCGAAGAGAGGCTACAACGTTGACACCATCACAGTGTACTGGGGACCTGGCGGCGTCGGCCTGAGTCTCCTTACGAGTCATTTGGAGGCGATGTATGGCCACAAGAATCACAAATATTTCGATCCCAATGTATTTTTCGTCGATGACGAGTTACGCAAAGTGGTCGAGCTGCTGGTCGACGGCTTTATCTTCACAGGTCAAGAACGACCCAGCGGACAACGCGGAACCATGCGGGAGGATTGCGGCTCTGGCGTCAAACGCACCGCGGCTGGCATATTGGTTACTCGCGCCCCGACAGCCTGCTGGCGCGCCGCCCGCGTCGTGCCCTTCAATGTCGGGGCGCGAGGGCCGCCGCCGCGTTGCCTTGGCGCCGAGCCGCCAGGACTTACTCAAGAAATTTGCCACAGCGGAGGGAGTTTCTGGAAGACTTCCCTATTCAATCTTGACCAAGATGTTTCGCATTGTGGGTTGGAAGAGACTCGAGGTCAACAAGTTCCTGGTGTTTGACGAGATCACAGAGCAGAACGTGGAGTCTTTGATGCGCAGGCTTGCCGTGGTGAAGATACAGGCGCGGTTTTTCGATCGCCTGTATGTTGAGGAGAACTTCGGTGACGCCGCGGCCGCCGGGATCTTCGCCCGTGACCCAGATGCGAAGGAGTTTCTCATGTCCTCCGTCGGCGTCGCCGCTGGGCATCGAGTGCAGTTCGCCTTCGAGGATGATCACGGCGCAGAGGCGTGTCGCGACATTATCGTTCGGTATGCGCGCTGTGGTGGCGATCGAGGAATCACGGAGAAGTCGCTGCGGCAGGCTTGTGGCCTCCTCGAGAAGACGTCGAACGTGGCTGGGTCCCTGCAGGCGGAGATCGACGCGCCCAACTCGCAGGGGCATGGGTGCACAGCCCCCAAGGAGTGGTTAGATTTCAGCATGGCTCTCATTCAAGAATGTCAAAAGAAAAACATGGACTTCCTTACGCTTCCAGCTTTCAAGGCGATGTCGCTGCCGACCAGTTGCAAGCTTCCTGCCCCTAAGCCGAAGGCCTTTCAGCGCCTGCAGACAGAGGGTCTATGGGTGGGCATTGGAACAGTGGGCAAGGCGGCCGATCGCATCGCGCCGCGCATACGCACCAAGAACGGCATGAGCGCGCTGATCGACGAGAGCTCGATGGGCGCGTGCAACTACCCAGAGGTCTACGACATGAAGTCCTTTCGGTCAGTATTCTTTGAGCACGGAGCTCGCAAAACTAACGCTGTGGTTCTGGCGGATGCACTGGGCAAAGGCATTCGGCGCCCCGGCCGACAGGCTGCCGAGAAGGCTGCGCGCGAGGCGGCGTGGTCGGAGAGGGCTGAATCAGTTCGACGCATGGAGTCTTTCATCGATACTTTGGCGAGCAGGGACAAGCGCGCCCAGGAAATCAAGAGGAGGCGCCTCACGGCCAAGGCTAGCGGCCCGAGCTCGCAGGGGGAGTCGGCTCATTTCGACGACGAGGTTTCGATTACGGTTTCCACGGGGTACCATCACAAGGTGGAGTGGCCGCCGCGAGCTTAAATTTTGACCTTGGATCGATCGTAGATCCTGCATCTTGTACGGACGGTGAATCGATCAGCATCGGGATCTCGGTCTGCGGTCCATAGTGGATCTCGAGTCGTCTGAGTGATCGTGAGGGAATATGAGAAGGGGGAGGGAGGCGGGCCCGATCAGTAAAATTGGCGCGCGCTCGGTGGATGCGGCTTCGCCTGAGGTCTCGCCTCTTCGTCGACGACTCTGTGGGCGCGCAGTCCATGGACCAGCGCTTGCAGAAGGTTTTGCTCACCAACACGTTCGATTTGGACATGGAGAACTTCTTGTTTTGCATCCTTCCGCAGATGTTGAAGCGGCTGAGCCTCCTGGACGAGAAGGTTTTCGCAGAAGAATTTGAAGTCCTTAATCGTCTGCAAAAGAATCGGCGCGAAGTTTGCGAGCAGGAACTCGGCGTGGGATTGTCTGTCGGCAAAGGGATTCTCTTGGAGGTCGCGTGCGGGGCATCCGTGCCCGCTGCTTTCAGAGGGAATGAGTTCCTTGCTGCCCTGTCCAGGGCGTCCAGGATGCTGAGGTGGCTCGCGGTTTCGCTGCTGCCTAAGGTGCACCTCGCGATGCAACAGCACGAGGGGAAATGGGCGGAGTCTTCTACATTTAGTTATCTATGGCAAGGCGTAGAGAACTACATACTGCAGCACGTGCTCAATTTCATTTGCGAGGAGCGCGTGAAGCACCTGTCCTTGCATTTCGACGGCGTGCGCGTGGACGTGGACCGCGTCGCCGTGACGGGGAGCTTGGGCGATTTCTGCTCGGGTTGCTCTGCGCGAGTTCACGCTGCCACCGGATACACCGTCACGCTGCGCAACAAGGAGCATTCCTATTTCTTCGACCTCCTGCGCGCGAAGAGCGCGGCAGTCGTTGATGAGGGCGGCCCACGCAGCAACGAAGACAACAAGCATCTGTTTCTACGGGGCAACTGCATACCCAGTGCGATCGCCGCACTGACTTCTCAGTGGGCGAAAGCGCGAGAGAATATTTCGGAGCCGCAGGACGAGGTTTTCAGGAAGTACCGCGACGTGGCAGAGCTGCTGGAGACGCCGCTCTTTCCGCGGGCGAGCCTCCTGGACTGCAAGGAAGGGCGCTACCTTCTTCACGCGGAGAACGGCGGGCTTCCGCATTGCATCGGCGCGGTGATCCAGAATGGGAGCGTCGTGATTTGCGAGGAGGGCGCTGCTCGTAAGATGAGTGTTTTTGATTTCGAGGAATGCTACGCCAGCGCGCTCGACATGAAGATGGTAGTGGCTTTCCGTCTGGGCGATAGCATTGATCCTGAGGAGAGCGCGCGGCTGGACGGGCTGCTGGATCTCCTGGCTGCTGGCCGATGGGACGATGACGGGCCGACTCCGCCGTCGAGGAAGCGACGTCGCCTCGCCTCCAGGGCGGCAAGAGCAGCGCGCGGCAGCCCTGTGTCATCGTCTTCGCCGTCCCCGACACCTTCAGCGCGCTCCGCGGCCCCCTCGAACATCAACTCCAGGCGCCACAATGAGAACCTCAATTTCATCGAGCTGCTGCGTGCGAAGGGTCTGGCAGTAGACGATTACGACAGCGGCGCGCCGAGCAGTGCGGGCGACCAGCTGCTTCGGCGCGGCAACTGCATACCCTGCGCGTTCGCAGCAGTGACTGGACAGTGGCAGAGCGTGCGAGAGAAGATTTCGGGGCAGCAGGTTGCAGATTTCAGGAAGTACCGCGACGTGGCAGAGCTGCTGGGCACGATATTCTTCCCGCGGGCGAGTCTCCAGGATTGCAAGGAGGGGCGCTACCTTCTTCACGCGGAACACGACGGGCTTCCGCACTGCGTTGGCGCGGTGTTCCAGCACGGGGAGGTCGTCATCTTCGAGAAAGGCAAGGCGCAGAAGATGAGCGTGTCCGCTTTCGAGGAGTGCTACGCCAGCGCGCTCGATATCAAGACGGTTGTGGCTTTCTGCCTGGATGAGGATGGCATCGACGATGGCGAGAGTTCGCGGCTGGACGGGCTGCTAGATCTACTGGCCGCTGGAGACGACGAGGGCAGCGAGGCCAGTTGCGACGGGGAGAGCTTCGACGGAGGCACTGTAGACGTACACTCTGAGCTACTGCGAGCGCTGAAGGCGGAGGTGGACGCCGCGAAAGCGGCCGTTCGTGGAGGCAGTCAGTCGCGTTGCATTCTCTGCCCCTTCAAAGAGTTTGACGAGAGCAGCCCCAAGGTGAAGCGGAACCTGCTGACGCACCTGTGTAATTACCATAACCCAGAGAGGAAGAGTCAACGAACTGGCGATCGGCAGATGGGCTTCGGTAACTACGTGGCGTCCGGCACGAAGCAGATGAAGATGGTCTTCGCGATGTTCGACTCCGATCGATGCCAGGGGAAAAGCCAAGGGCGGTATCTCGAACGCACTGCTCAGATGTTGCGAGAGAGCGTGAAGCCTGCGCTGGCCTGCCTCAGGATTGATCGCGACATCCGTCTCCTGTTGGACGGCGCTGGCCCGATATTCATCAACGCAGCCGCCATCATGTCCGAGCCGCCCGAGGGCCCGACGACGCTGGCGAGGCGCGTCGGAGATACGTACTACAGCCACGCGTTCGCAGAGATTATCTTCAAGGAGTTCATGCTGAACCACGGGCGCGCTCGGCCCACTCGCGCGCGCATCGTGGCGAGATGCGCGGAGGCGGGGTCGCAGCTGACGCACTTGCTCCCGCAGGAGGTCACCAAATGGTTGGAGCTGCTGGAAGATCTCCTCAGCGCGCCATTTGTTCGCGCTGCGCGCGATCAGCTCATGCAGCAGTTGCTCGATCACGACGAGTTCGTGCACGTGTCGATCGACGCCACCATCAGGGCGGCCATGCGCATCAAAGGGCAGGCGAATTACCGGGACTCTGCGGAGAAGAGAGCCGCCGCGCCTTTTGACGACACGGTTGCCAAGAGGCGCATCCTCACGGTGCGCGGCCGCACGGCGGCCGTCGCAGGCATGTGGCCGATCGCGTCTGAGGCCGCGCGGAACATCAAGGATATGCTTCAGATGCGTCTCCCACAAGCAGCTCTCGATCAGTGCCGCTCGATCGCGACTGACGACCCCTCTGGTGAGTTGTACGGCCAGTTGCTAGAGATCTGCAAGAATCTGACGTGGCTCAGCTTGGACCCAGTGCACCTAGCTATCGTTTACAACTCGGCTCACTGGAAAAAGCATTCGCAGTAGGCTTAGTTGTTGCCCGATGCCGATCGTGCCACCTCCATGATCGTTGTCGTCGTTCGAAGATTCCGATCGTCGATCGTTGGCATCTGCGGTCGCCATGACCGCCCAGTGAGACTGCGCCGAGGCCAGGGCAGACAGCGCTGCGCACGGTTCTGAACAAATTCAACAAGATTGATTATCAGGCTACCTCGGACGCGTGGGGCCCAGCTTATACAGGCGGACAATTGCAACCTCTGACCCCAGACCAGAACAGAAGTCGGGACGCAGTGAAGAACGGCAGCATGCCCAGACGAGAGGCGCAGCGCCTCCTGGATAACCTGAATGGGGAAGAGCCTTTCAAGAACACCGATGATTTCGTCAGAGCCATGGCGGCTATTACATCAGTATATTGGGATGAGGCCACTTGCGCAGATGCTTTCCTTTCCCCGATCGCTCCCATTCGTTCGGTCGTTCGCCGTTTGTCAATGCCGCCGTCGGTCGCATGATCGAGATCTGCATATCGATGATCTCGTTTCCTCAGGTGAACCGGGGCACGGCGAGCGGGCGGCTCTTGGTAGATGTGCTCTGGTCGGCTACGTCGGTGGAGCGGGTGCAGTTCTTGTTCAACAACACGCGGATGCGCCACTCCCTACCCAAGAAGTACCAATCGCTGATTGGTTCTGGCACGTCGCCGAACGAGGCGTTGCACGCCGAGGTCAACAGGTGGTTCCGCAACCAGCCCGAGCTCTACCTTGAGACGCTGGAACTGCAGCTGGCGGCGGCCACCCACGCCAAGCTGATCGCGCACAACGCCGCCATGTACGCGCCAGCTCTGAGAGCGCTCACCTCGCAGACAGTGCTCGCGACTGCGATTGGCCGCCAGCTCGCATCCCCTGACGAATGGCAGCGCTTCTGCGCGGCGCAGGCATCGGGTGTTGGCGCGCCTGCGAAGGCGTGCCTGCCCAAGAGCGCCCAGCGGAAGGCTTCTCAGCCCTTGGCCAAGCAGTGGGCAAAGGATCGTAAGAACTTTAAGTCTATCGTTCGGAAGAGGCCCGCGGCAATGAAGGCTGCGCAGAAGAGGCCGGCGGCAATGAAGGGGGTCAAGCGCACTCCCTTCAATAGGAAGCGGGTCATCCGTTAGATCGCCTTCCGCTCGCAGCTTTGATGATGACCCAGTAGGTACCTGTACAAGCATTTCAGTTGTGGATATCTAAGATGTAGCAACAGGCCCAGCTGTTTAATGCGGTTGCGAGGGTTGTCTAGGGTCAGGCAAACGTTCAGACCTCGTGCCGCTTCTGGGGCGCTTCTCACGCGACATTTGAGAGTTTTGATTAGCATTCGTTCTTCAGATCTGACGGTGGAAAATATTTGCATGTCGAATTAACTAGCCAAGGCGCTTCCCGCCCCGCTCGGTCAGGTCAGCCTTGCAGCCCAGTTGTCCAGTCTAATCGTTCAGATCGCTCATGCCATTCGGCCAGCTCTCTCATGTCATTATCCCACAGCCAATTGACTGCAAAGGATCGTAAGGCATCGGGTGTTGGCGCTGCTCGGCAGACAGACACGCATACACTATTTAAATTATTTGAATTATTTCCGCCGAGGCGATATTCAAATAATTTAAATAATTCAAATCGTGATGGTTGATCAGCTTGCTGGGCTGCCTTCCAGCATATTTAAATAATTTAAATAATTTAAATAGTTCAAATAATTTAAATCGCTGCGGCTGGTTTAAATTATTTGAATCATTTAAATTATTTAAATTATTTAAATTATCTAAATATGCTGGCAGCCTGCTCGGCAGATAGACACGCATACACTATTTAAACTATTTGAATTATTTCCGCCGAGGCGATATTCAAATAATTTAAATAATTCAAATCGTGATGGTCGGTCAGCTTGCTGGGCTGCCTCCCAGCATATTTAAATAATTTAAATAATTTAAATAGTTCAAATAATTTAAATCGCTGCGGCTGATTTAAATTATTTAAATTATTTAAATTACTTAAATTATTTAAATTATTTAAATATACTGACAGGCGGCTCGGCAATCAGACGCACCTACACTATTTAAATTATTCTAATAATTTCTATCGAGCGATATTCAAATAATTTAAATAATTCAAATTGTGAGGGCCTGTCAGCCTGCTGAGCCGTATCCCAGCATATTTAAATAATTAAAATAATTTAAATAATTTAAATAATTTAAATAATTTAAATCGCTGCGGCTGGTTTAAATTATTTGAATCATTTGAATTATTTAAATTATTTAAATTATTTAAATAATTTAAATAATTCAAATAATTAAAATAATTCAAATAATTTAAACCATCCAGCGCGATTTGAATTATTTAAACTATTTAAATTATTTAAATTATTTAAATTATTTAAATATGCTGGCAGGCGGCTCGGCTGACAGACACGCCTACGCTATTTAAATTATTTAAACTATTTCCGCCGATGCGATATTCAAATAATTATAATTATTCAGATCCTGAGGGTCTGTCAGCCTGCTGAGCCGCGTCCCAGCATATTTGAATAATTTAAATAATTCAAATAATTTAAATAATTTAAATAATTTAAACCATCCAGCGCGATTTGAATTATTTAAATTATTTAAATCATTTAAATTATTTAAATTATTTAAATATGCTGGCAGGCGGCTCGGCTGACAGACACGTCTACGCTATTTAAATTATTTAAATTATTTCCGCTGGTGCGACGTTCAGATAATTTAAATATTTCAAATCGTGATGGTCGGTCAGCTTGCTGGGCCGCGTCCCAGCATATTTAAATAATTCAAATATTTCAAATAATTTAAATAATTTAAATAGTTCAAATTATCTCGCGCGATTTAAATAGTATATTATTTAAATTATTTAAATTATTTAAATTATTTACATTATTTAAATTATTTAAATATGCTGCAGGCGACTCGGCTGACAGACACGCCTATTGTATTTAAATTATTTAAATTATTTTCGACGAGGCGATATTCAAATAATTGAATTAATTCAAATCGTGGTGGTCAGTCAGCTTGCTGGGCCGCCTCCCAGCATATTTAAATAATTTAAATAATTCAACTAATTTAAATAATTTAAATAATTTAAATCATCACGCGCGATTTAAATTATTTAAATTATTTAAATTATTTAAATTATTTAAATATGCTGGCAGGTGGCTCGGCTGACAGACACGCCTACGCTATTCAAATTATTCAAATTATTTGCTGAAGCAGAGTCCAAGGGACGCATAGAGCCTATTTCTCCCTCAATCATATATATATATATATCGCTCTCTCTCCCTCTCTCTCGCTCTCCTTCGGAGCCCTTCATCCTCCTGCTTCGCGTCGGTTCTCTGCGGCTCGACGGGGCCCCCAGGGGGCCCAGGCGCGGAGTCCACGGACCCCGGAGAGTTCGGGACTCAGGTCTCTGGCTTCGAAATCGGCTTACAAAAGCCCCAGGTCGGGGGTCGGGGGGATCTGGGGGCGGCGCGCAGGAGCCCGAGGGGCAGCCAGTAACTCCAGGGACTGCTCGGGGCAACCAGGGCCAACCAGGGGCCACTAGGAACCCCCAAGAATCCAACGAACTCCAAACCCCAGGGATTGCCGGCTCTGCCAGGGGCTCCAGGCTGGGCTGGGCCGCGGGACCGTCGGCACTCAGGAGGTCGGCTGGGACTGCGCCTGCGCGCGGGACCGTCGGCCCCCTCGGGGGTCGGCTGGGACTCGGCGCGGGGCCGTCGGCCCCCAAAAGGGTCGATTGGGGCTGCGCACGGTTCGGACGAGGCGACGAGGGACTCTGCGTTCTTGAAATCCTTGGGGCCGGCAGCCGACGATTCGGCTGAAGGTGGCCGCCTGCGGCCCCTGCTCGGCGGTGCTCCCGAACGGGATGCGCGCCTGGCGTGCGTTGCCCAGGCGACGCACCTCCTGCGGCGGCTGCTCCCGCTCCTGCAGCAGCGGGGGCTGGGTTGCCTTTGCCGCCGCCCTTGACCGACTGGGCCATCTCCCTGTGCCTGGCGGCGTTCTCGATGCGGGCGGCGGCTGCGCGGCGGTCCGCCCCGACATGTTCGGGCCCTGCTGGCCCAGCAGCAGGGTCTGCAAGATGCGCCGAGGTCTCTGAGACAGACGCTAAAAATGGACCTGAAGCCGCGGGTGGCTGCTGGGGCTCGGGCCCTCCAGCAACTGGCTCGGGCGCAAATTGTTGCGGTTCCGTCGTTCGCTTCTTTCGCTTGGCAGGGCCGTCGGCCGACTCCTTCGCATTGCGGAAAATCTCGCGGACGAGCTCCTGACAGTCGTTGAGGGCCCTGACCCGATCGCCGACGTCCCGCTTCCATTGCTCCATCTGGGCCGCGGTGGTCTCGTCGTAGATCGAGATGTCGCCCCAGATAGAGCTGTCGGTGCGGAACTGGCTGGGGATGTGGTCAGCTCGCCCTGCAGCGCCAGCGAGTTTGGCACGGCGATTGTCCTGCGCTTGTGCGCAAGCCTTCTTCGCTAGCACATGTTTGAATGCTGTTTGCTCTTGTCTCGCCACGGCATCGTTGAGCCCCACCTGTGCCTCGGCAGCGTCCTCAGCGGTCGGCTCGAAGTTCTCCCCGCGGTCTTGGGGCGCAGAAAAAGGCTGACTGGAGCTCCTGTTCCGCAGTCCGCACTTGTGGTGCTGTCGCTGGTCCTTGGGGTGCCTGTGCGCTCTGCGATCTGGCTAACCAGCCCTCCATGCTTCTCGTCCTGGGGGGGGGGGTCTTAGAGGCACCGAAGATGGTGCCCCTCGATGGGGCCGCGGGCGACGGCGCCCCGCGCCACGGCGGTAGCTTCAGAAGTCCTCCCGCCGAGGCGCCTGGCCCGGCGATGCTCAGCAGGCGAAGGTGCGAAGGGCTTGCCGCGAGCGAAGCACTCCTGTTTTGACTCCCATGTCCATATGTAGCGGCACTGCTTACACTTGCAAACCGCATACTCGTAAACGTCACCACGGGAAAAGCCGCGGTCGCCCATTGGCTTGGGCGAGCGCGGTGCGGGACGGTCGTCGTTTTGCTGCCTACGTCTACCACCGGGAGCCATGTCGCCACTCTGCCACTGCACCTCGTCTCGAAGTCTTCCACACGGATGGGGGCAACTCGCCACAGAGGGTAGCCGCGAACACGGAGATGGGCGGCGGTTCGCCCCTGTTTGTGGCCGCGGACACGGAAATGGGCGACATGTCGCTTCTGCTTGTAGCTGCGAGAGCGAGGATCGAAAACTTTGGGGGCCTACCCCAGACAGGCAGTGATATGGAGCCAAGGTTGGCCTTGAGCCAAAAATGGCTACGGAGGGGGAGTGCGATAGGACGGGGAAAGGGGGGGGGGAGGAGGAGGAGGAGGAGGAGGAGGAGTTTGCGAAACAGCAGTCGCAGCTGCAGAGGGTCATGGGAATCACGAGCGCAGGTGGCGTCAGCCCAAACAGGCCAAGCCATTGGCTAAACACATACGACTTTAGTTACACCATAGTTTCAACACGTCGCTGCGCAAATGTGTAGAAGTGGCTACACATCCACTTACAGCAGCATATCAACACAATGCCCGACTAAGCAAAAACTTTCCATAGCTCCCACACACGCTCCATCCATTTGTTGCTGTCTGACCTGGTGGTGTGCACGCCGGCCATGCTTCTGCTATAACTTAGTTATGGCAAAGTAGCAACCCACACGTCCACACGCATACAGCATGCCAGCAACCAGCAATAGCAATGCGCCGACCGTATCAAAGTTTTGACTAAGTTATAGCAAGTCAGCAGTTCAAATGTTCACATGTATATAGCGGGGCTGCACCTAGTTAGACCAGCAGGAGCTCTCACTGTGCAAAATTACGCTACCGAGGAACCCCACATACTTATATGATGGCTGGAGAGATGAGAGCTGAAGTGAAGCATGTGAGACTGATGTTGGTGGCCGTTGCCCCGCCGATACCGCTGTGCCCTGGGCGACCGTCATGGATAGCGGCCGCGGTGAAAGACCACACCCTGCGCACCCCCTTATGGTGTCGAGAATATGTCATGCCTGCTGTGCCCTGGACGACCGTCACGGACAGCGGCCGCGGTGAGAGACCACCCCCTGCGCACCCCCTGCGGTGTCGAGAATATGCCATGCCTGCTGTGCCCTGGACGACCGTCACGGA